ATGTGGGCTCCAGGGGAGGGGGAGCGGGGAGGGAGGGGTGCAAGTCGGCGGCGTGCCGGGGCCGCTTGCGACGGCCTGGTGCCCGAGGCGGCAGCAGCCGAAGGAAGAGGGGTGGGTCGCGGTGGAGCACCAAGGGGCTAAGGTCTGGTGGACTACTCGCGCTGCGGCTGGCTGCTGTACGCGTACAACAACCACATCCAGACTGGAGGCGGGCCAGTGGGATTTTACTCCCCCGTTTCCCAACCCTTCGCGCCCCCCTCATGTCAGCAGCCCACCAGCCAAGGCCCCCCCCCTCTCACAGCCCCGCTCGTCCCTGGCCGCGCACCCGAGCCAGCAGCGCCGCCTCGTCCTGGCGGTTCCGCTTGACCTTCGGCTCATCCCCGGGCGCCCCCGGGTGCAGCGCATGGCCGGGCGCCGCCGCCGACACACCAGGGTCCGCCCCGTTCAGCGGCCGCTTCTGGCCGACCAGCGCCGCCCGCTGCTGCTGCTGGGCCGCGGCCGCCTGCTGCTGCGCGAGCGCCTGCTGCTGCTGCTGCTGCTGCCGCTGCGCCGCCGCCGCCTGCTGCTGTGCAGCAAGGTGCTGCTGCTGCTGCTGCTGCTGCTGCTGCTGCTGTTGCTGCTGCTGTTGCGCCGCAGCGAACGCTTCTTGCTGCTGCTGCTGCGGCGCGGCTGGCTGCGGCGCAGCTTGCGGCTGCTGCTGCGCCCCGCCGGCAAACGCGAACGGCGGAAACATGGGGCCGGGCGCATCAAACGCGGCGCCGCTGCCGCCGCTGTGGTTCCGCGAGCGCCGCACGTACTCCTTCACCGGCGTGCATATGGGGCAGGCCGGGTTCTGCAAGGTGCGGGGCGGGGCCGCGTCAGGAGCGGATGCTCGGGGGCTGTGAAGGCGGGGGCCAGCGCAGGCGGCCATTACTAAGCTAACAGGCACTGCTGGGGGCAACTGCGCCGCATGCGCCCCCACTGCAGGGCAAGTTGCAGGCTGCGAGCTCATGAACCCTCGCTATTCCCTCTGCGCACCCTTCCTCACGAGCTCATGCGTGTGTTATGGCAAATGCTCACACGACTGTTCAAACACAACCGACCCCCCACCCAGTCACACACATGCCTCACCCCAGGCCGGCACGCATGCAAGCGCACAACCGCGCAAGCCCGCACCCACCTGGCACTTTTGGTGGTGCTTGAGCAGGTCTTTCGAGCTGACGCAGCGCGGGTAGGCGCACTTCACATTGGTGCACTGCAGGATGTGCTGCCACAGCTCCTTGCCCACGCGGCAGCTGCGGCTGAACTGGCACTCGGCCTCCGTCTGGGTGCACTTGGCGCAGTGGCGCAGGAAGAGCAGCCAGCGCTGCTGCTTCTGGATGTACTGGGTGCGCCCCTGCATCTGCTGCTGCTGCTGCTGCTGCTGCTGCTGCTGTTGTGACGGTTGCTGCTGCTGCTGTTGCTGCACCTGCCCTTGGGGCACCGGCTGACCCTGCGGCGCGGAGCCGGAGGCCTGCGGCACCATTTGCTGCTGCTGTTGTTGCTGCTGCTGCTGCTGTTGCTGCTGTATGGCGGCTGCCAAGGGATCCTGCGGCGCTCCGCCCACGGGAACCATCCCGCCGACGCCGGGCGCCTGGCCAGGCACCACGTACCCGGTGGGGCCGTTGGCGACCGGCATCATGCCGCCCATGCCTCCCATCCCGCCGCCTGCGCGCGACGAGCGGGCGCGCATGCCGAGCTGACGGGCCCCGAGACGTTGCATGGCGAGCAGGGTTGCGAGAGCGACAAACGCCATGTCCAGCCCGGCAAATCCCCGGCCCGCTCTTCCAGCAACTCACCCATGCCGTTGACCATGGCGGGTCCGCCCATGGGCACCATCCCGCCAGGCGCGCCGCCCATCGGCCCCTGGTTGACCGGCACCATGCCGCCGCCCATGCCGCCGCCCATGCCCCCACCGATGGGCACCATGCCGCCCGCTGCTGACGTGGGCATAAACCCAGGCGGCGCCTGGGTCGGCATCATGCCTGTGGAGGGCCGGCCACCAAGTTGCAGGGGCAGGCAGGAGTTGTCTGAAGTGAGGAGCCCGACATCGCACACACCCAGAGCGGCAACAGAAGCGTCAGCAGGCTGCGCGGAGCGGCGGGCAAGGGGGGGGGGGGGTTCTGCACAGGTGCAGGATGAGACGAAGCCGCCAAGCCAGCCGGACCCACCTTGCGGCATGCCGTAGTGCCCGGGCATCCCCATCATGCCGCCCATCATGCTGTCGCCCTGCGTAGCAGGTTCGAGAGGGCCAGGAGATTTCGGCTGCAGGTGCAAGCAAAACGAGCATGGCGCACAGCTGCTCATGCCCGGCGAAACAAAGCCCGCCGCCCGAGCCTGGCGTCCATCCAACGCTGCCCGATCACGCACCATACCAACAGGCACCATGCCGCCGCCACCGCCGCCGCCCCACTGGTCTTTCCGCAGCACCGGCGCGCCGTTGCTCATCAGCTGCGGGGCGCCGCCCATGCCCATCTGCTGCCCCGCGCCCATGCCCATGCCAGGCGGGCCGCCTGGCGCGGGGATCATGCCGGGGGTTGGCATCATCCCAGGTGTTGGCATCATCCCAGCGCCCGGCTGCTGCTGCTGCTGCTGCTGCTGGCCGTACATGCCGCCCCCCATGCCCTGATCTATGGGCACCATGCCAGCCGGCAGGCCGTTGGCGGCGGCCGCCTCGACCTTCAGCCCGCCCTGCTCCAGCTTGAGGTCGCCGCCGCCATACTGCTGCTGCTGCTGCTGCTGCTGCTGCTGCTGTTGCTGTTGCTGCTGCCCGTCGAGGCCGCCGTTTCCCATGCCCAAGTTGAACATGCCCTGCATGCCCATGCCCATCGCCATGCCCATGCTGGCCGGCACCATGCCCTGCTGGTAGTGGAGCCCATAAGGCTGCTGCTGCTGCGGCGGCGGCTGGCCTGGCAGCCCGCCCCCCATCATCATCATAGGCTGCTGCTGCTGCTGCTGCTGGGCCCCGCCATCCATCTGCGGCGTGCCGGGCGGGTGGTAGGCCGTCACCACCGGCGACGCGCTGCCCGCGCCCGGCGCCGGCCCGCCACCGTTGCCGGCGGCGGCGGCGGCCGCGCTGCGCGCCTGATGCGACTGTTGCGCGACGCGCCGCGCAACGACCTGCAAGCGCGCCTCCAGCGTAGCCAGGTCCCCATACTCCTCCTGCATTCAATTTGCAAGGGGAAGGGCCATCGGATGCATGCTGGGCCGCATGGCACAACTGCAATGGCCGCTGCCGTCACCAGACAATGGCAGAACCTCCTGCATGCGCCGTGTCGCCCCACCGCAGCCCTCGCCCTGCCCTGTGTCCCCCGACGACCCCCGCGCGCGCCTTGGAGTTGGCCGAGCGCAGCAACTGGTCTTCCAGCCGCTTCACAAAGTTGGGCAGCTCCCGGGAGTTTGCGTCGGGCCGCCGGCGCTGGAACGTCGCCATGCTGTGGGGTGGGGGACGGGTGCAGTTGCCGCGGCGGCGCGGTCAACGCGGGCGGCGTGCTTCGCTGCTAGCCTGGGACGAGCGGGGCGTGGCGGGTGATCGGCGACGCCTTCAAGGCAGCAGCTGCTGCAGTGCCGCAATGAGCACAGCCATGTATGTGCGGCGCCGCGTCGACCCAGCTGGGGAGTAGATCGCCCCTCCTGCACCCACATCGACTGTGTCACGGTCGCCCGCAGCGGCTGCACATCTGGGGAGGTGCGCCAGTCCATGCTGGCAGGCGCCCTCTCCAGCAGGGGGTGCGGGCCCGCAAACCGCCTGCGCCACTAGCGTGCAAGGCTGCAGCGTCGAGGAGCGTGAGCGTGGGGGGGAGAGGGACGTCAGCATGACAGGGCATGCTGCAGTGTTCGAGCGCAACTCAAGCGCTTGCAGCCGAACACATCAGATGCAGAGCTATCTGGCGAGGAGGATAGCCTTGTTGGTCCGCATTCCTCAGCAAGAGCTGCTGCAGTGCGAAGTCCCTGCGCACCGCTCCCCCACCGCCACGGCATGCCCGTCGCGCATCAGGATGCGTTCCCCCTATACCGCTGCAGGGAGCCCGCTGCTGCAATTTCAGCGCAACCAACACATCATATGAAGCCTCCCTCATGCGTGCTGGGCAGGCAATCGCCCTCGGGCACCAGGGAACAGCCCGACACCCCGCGTCTCGCCACACAGGAGAACCCGCCCAATGGCAAGTATGGTGGTGCGCCTCAGCAACCATTGTTCTACCCGAAGCACATAGGCCGGGCTGCTCCTCACGGTCAGCACAGCAGCACTTGCTGCGAGCAACATTTCCGCGCGAGGCCACAGAGTGCCCCTTCACGACCCAAGTACCAATGGTAACCGTAAGTCAAGATATAATCACTCACTTTTGCTCGGCAGAGTCCAGCGAGGTCTCCATCGTTGCTCGGGGAGGAGCAGCAAGGCTAGTGCACCGGGCAACACAACGAGATGCGCGCACGCTGGGTGCTGTACTCGACGAACTTGTTTGGCTACTAAGCTTTAGTAGACAACGCGCCGACAGTAGGAGAGCGTGCGTGCTGGCCAGGAGAGCACGTACACGAGATCAAATGATACACTACCGTACGGGCAGCTGTGGAATGGTGTGAACAGCAGCCAGGACAATGCAAGCTATCAATGAGTCTTGCACTGCATGCTCCCCCCTCTTGCGGGAAATTGCGCGGCGTAGCAATCCAAATCCGCATCAGCTCTACAGTACCTGCTGGTGCTCCTCGTGCGAGCAGCGAGCCCGTGCCAACGGGACCGACAGTCTGGCCACAGTCATCTCTGTGAAGCGCCTCATGAGCCTCGCTTTTGTCCGCTGCCCCACTGCTTGGTGTGTCGGGTGCTCGCTGGGTTGACCGCCGCACGCCCCCCCCCCCCTCCCGGGGCCCCGGGGTCCCCCTTTCCCCCATGCAAGAAGACATGCGCCGACTGCGAAGCTGCAGGCGGGCGGAGGATCAGTTCTTTCCTCAGACGCCTCCTATGCTTGCAAAGCACGGGTCGCTTTCAAGGGCGAGGGGTGCCGCGCGCACTGTCAGTCAGTCGCATCCCAAGCACAGCTGAGCAAGCTGTGCCTGTGTTGGTGGCATGGAAATCGCCCGTGCTTGCATCGGCGCACATGTAGGCGGTTGACTCGTGAGAATGATAACTGCACATGACCCTGATGTCTGCTGTTTGCGTGTGCGTCCTGTTTTGTGCACCCCATGTCCCCTTGTGCCACTCTGCAAAGTTGACCTCGAATCGGCCGACGCATTTTCAGGGGGAGGTGCGGGTAGTCGAAGCCCGCAGTACTGCCAACCCGAAACGATCTCTCGCTTTTGGTCGTTTGAGGGCGATGGGTGTATGGGGCTACGTGGTGGCGAGGGCAGCGGAAGCCGGCCACGCGTCAGCTGAGGTACCCTATGGTACGCAAGGTAAGGTTGAGCACCAAGCGACGCTCGTAGTTGCAAAGTAGTCTTGCGATGCTTACGATTGCGATGCTTACGATTGCAGCGTTTTAAGAGGCGGATGTCACCTTGTACAGGCAGATGTGAGTTGAGTGGGTCGGTTACGTACAAGACAAGCGCAGCGATCATGCTGTCACATGATGGATTCAACGCTCCTTCAACACTGTTTCGACATAATAAGAGGTCTATTCAAGGGATATGCAGCGCTGATAGGCCGAAAGCGGCTTTTTTTGACTCGGCTGGCAGGCGCACCGGCTCTCGCTGTTCTCAAGCGAATCTGGGCCCGAAACCATCCACTCTCAAACTTGTCAAACCACACATTCATCTCAAGTTGTTATCGCCAGTCTATTTAACACCTCAAGGAGCCTCTACGCTTTTCGAGACGCGAGGGTGCGCGGCCGGAGGCTGGCAACTGTGCAGTGCCCGCCAGGGAGCATGTGATTGCGAGATGGTGTAGAAATACAAATCACGATACATTAAAAAAAACGACGCACCGCGCAGCAGCACTCTTGCCCCTGCCACTCTGCAGCGCATACCCTTCCAGCCCGAGCCAGCCGCCTGGGCAAAGCCGCATCACTTTGCCGTTCGGGAGCCAAACGCTCCCCTGCCTGCCACCAATCTGCCTGCTTGCGGCTGCCCCGCAGGTCAACCGTTGTAGGCGCAACTGTCCGTGTCCCGCCGGCAGGAGCCAGGATGCGGCTCGCAGCCTGCGCAATCGTCGCGGCGCTGCTCGCCGGCAGCGCCGCGGCCGTGTCGTTCACACAGCCGGCGTACCCGATCAGGCCCGGGGTCAAGACCGACATGATCACCAACCAGCGCGTGATTGCGTCCACTCTTCAGGGCGTCATCAATCTGCCCAGCCTGCTGCTCAACGGCACCTTCCAGGTCAACCCGCTGGGCAAGCCCACAGACAAGGTCGAGGTGCGGGCCGGCACGCGCGCGCGTGCTCATGTGCCAGCGGCGTGGCCCGGGAGGCCCCGGCTGCAGAGGGCTGGCGGAGCCTGGCTGAACGAGCGGGAGGAGGGGGGACGGGGACGTTCCGTGTGCTGCGTATTGGTACCTCCAAAACGCAACAGTCGTGTCAGTCGCGGCGAGCAGTTGCAGGCGGTGGAGGGGCCAAGCCGCGCACCACGGGTTGCCCGCCGGCTGCTGGTTGCACGCTGGCTTGCCTGCTGCAGGCGACGCTCAGCCCGCGCCCTCCGAGGCCTTCCCGACTCTGCGCCGTCTTGACAAACTCGCTCCACGTCTGATGATGATTATTATTTTTGGGCACCCCGCAGGTCAAGGATGTGGGCTGCCTGGACACGATCATCCCGCCGCCCCTCAACTGGGGCCCCCTCTGGTGCGCGGGCCGCGAGGTCAAGGTCAAGCAGTGGACCGACGAGGTGGGCACGCTGCACCGCAGCATCGACATCCCCGTGCAGCCCAACGTGACGGCCAACATGGTGATGTTCCTGTTCAGCCCGCTGTACCCCCAATTCCTGGAGTTTGGCGGGAAGATGTGGTTCTGGTACCACCTGTGGCACCCCTTTGACCACATCATGGTGCGGAGGGGGTGGG